AGGGAATATGGATGGAAAGCCAGAAGAGTTTTATTAAAGAAAGCTGGACCCTGATTCTCGCTTAATCTTTTTCCTGCTGAGATGGTCTTTAATGAGACTATCACAGTTGGCCCCGAACACAGTCGTGGGGACGGCATCTTGGGGGAAAAGATGTGATTCTGTCAACCATCTTGAAACTTCCAGTTATCAGAAACTGGGTCCTTATTTTTCAGTGGACTGGCGAGCAAAGCAGCCAGTGCTCTGCTAACGAAGTCTGTCTTCAGCTCTGTGTAAATCGAGAAATGTCTCATGACTTGCCCAGTTTGCCCCTGTGGACGCCCTCTGTCGAGGCTTTCAGATCCATGCCTTTCAGAACTTTAAATGCCCGGCTCGTGGGATCTCAGAGCTGAGAGACCTTCCTGATCCAGTCCTGCCCAGAGAGAGGGTTTCCCTAACCCCCGGGGGCCTGGGCTGTGAGCACCTGGCTCTGTCGGCTGACGTCTCCACCAGGTGCCTGGGCTCTGAGCACCTGTCTGTCGGCTGACGTCTCCACCAGGTGCCTGGGCTCTGAGCACCTGTCTCTGTCGGCTGACGTCTCCACCGAGTGCCTGAGCTCTGAGCACCTGTCTCTGTCGGCTGACGTCTCCACCAGGTGCCTGGGCTCTGAGCACCTGTCTCTGTCGGCTGACGTCTCCACCAGGTGCCTGGGCTCTGATGTCTCCAGCCCTTCGCTGTGGCACTGGCTGCCGTTTTTCCTGAAATTGCTTCAAGACCTTTTGTCCTTTTGATGTTTTTTCCAAGTCCTGTATGTTTCCATGACAGAATTATTTTTTACAGAGAAATATGTGTCACCGCTCATGGCAAAGGTACACATATTTTACAGGCTATGCTGATGGGGCTGCAGGCGGCTGGGTTTTGAACATGGCACCTTTTCATCTCCCGGGGCCAAACACTGCAGGAAACACAGGGGATTCTTGGGCTGCTCCCGAGGGTAATTGGCTTGTATGTGGAAAGCAATGTTTAAATGCAAGACAGGCAGGGTCAGATTCATTGACCTCCAGGGCTCTGTGCCCGCCAGAGAGCGAGTATAACAAATTGCAGCCCTGGACCCTGGCAGCTGTCCTGACCCTTCGTGTGCCCCAGCCTCTGGGACAAGCCCAGCCATGTGCCTGGTAAGATTGCTTATTTTGAAACACGGTTAACTTAACCCCAGTGTACTCCAGGCATCCTTCAGGGAGCCTGGGAAGGGGTGGAGATGGTGGTACTGAGGACTCACGGCCAAATTCCTGGTTGCTAGAACGCAGGTCCTGTTCCCCAGGAGCCTGGTGCCACGGTCAGGCTTTCGTCCAACCACCGGACGCTGACCTTGAGCTCAGCTGTCCCCTTCTGCCAGCATTGTCTCTCTACAGACCCACATGCAGGGGTTGAAGGAGAATGAGGACTTGTTTACAAGGGTCCGGGGTGAAGAAGAGAAATAGACTTGAGTCGACAGAGCCTTGGAAATCCAGAACTCGCCCTGGCTCACCTGGGATCTACGCTTCTGAGATGCGTAGGGTGCCGTGTGCACTGCTGCAGGGTGCCCTGGGCAGGTGACTCCTGCTGGCCAAGATCTCACTGGGTTCTCAGTGCTTCTCTACCAAAGAATCCTCTGTTCTAAAGAGGCCGGTGACATCCGAGGGCTGAACCGTGGGGCCGAGCGGAAGCGGGGAGATCGCCGGCCTCAGCCCCCACGTGCTGCCTCCTTCCCTTTCCGTTTCGGTGACCCCAAGGGAGCTCTCCTGCCCTGGCTGTACCAGCAACTCTCGGCCACCAGGGCCCAGCACAGCCATGTCTTCCGAGAGCCATTCCAGTGCCTGTTTGTCCCAGTGTGTCAGTCTTTGTGCTCTGGATTCTAGAAGACCCCTTTGCTGATGGGCTGGAGGCACCTGTGCCCCTTTGCTCCCTAGATACGCAAGTGGCGTCCACGCAGGGCCCCAGAGGACCAGGCTTCTGGAGCCGCATGCAGCTAAGGCGTTGCTGGACTTGTATGCCATCCGTGCTCCCTCCTGAGATGGCTGAATGATTTGGATGTGGCGTAAACCAGGGAGGTGAGAGATGGAACTAAGACGCTTCCATAGGCTGCTGGCAAATGCTGAGTGTGAAACGGGAAGGCAACTCGGGGCAATTCTGAGATCCGATTCCATCGCAGGAAGAAGTGGAGGTGCACAGCTGATCATTTGGGATTCTACTGGGGGCACTAAGAGAAATATCTAGGCCCCATCCCAGCAGATTGGCGTGACTTTAAATCCCATAAATACCAGGTTTCAGTGTATACGATTCAGCCTAAGATAGTTTATGTTCGGTACATACCGTTTTTGTGATTCCCGCAGGGAATCCCGCAGGGAGCGAGTTTCCAGTCCACGGCTCGGAAGTGAGCTTTCACTCCCGTGCCTGCTCTCCTGCAGACTCCAGGGAACCCTTGAGCAACATCGTGGCTACCGTGGAGTCACCGTGAATCTTGCCTAATGTGCAGAGTGAGGGCATTTGGAAAGCAGATCTATGAGCTGTGTGTGTTCACCTTGGTAGGACAGTGAGGTTTTCATTTGGATACCGGTTGGAAGACTCAATGAAATGGAGCTGTCATGGGTCAGCAGGAGTCCAGCTGAAATGCTACACTGCAGAATGTTCTGGGCAGAGTAACTTCTGTTTGGGAGTCGTGGGAGTACTTTTGTTGCGGTTAGCATTCTGAAAAGAGTGGGTGTAAAATACTTCCCCACAAGAGGGATCCCAAACCTCACAGCCTCTCTAGCATCATCTCTCCCAGATGCTTCCTCACTGAGCCAGGGCTCACGGGTGGGCTTGTGAGGTTGCAGTGGGTCTCCTGTCCACGCAGGTGCTCAGGACGCAAGCCCCCAAGTGAGCAGACCCTGAGGGGCACCTTCACCACCGAGCAGGGCCTCTCTGAGCAGACCTGCATCTCCTGGTTGCATGGGACAGCCGGGGTGAGCATGGTGCCACGGTTCTTCCACTGCTGAGTCTTCCTGCAGGTGGGCAGACGCTGGCGTGCTCGGACGTTCACAGTTCTTTAGGAAAATCGGCCAGTAGCTGCTGTACTGGGCAGTGTTAGCCCAGCCCAGTCAATAAAGTAACCACTCCAGGCTAAGTCATCACAAGACGAACCCCTGTCCTTCCAGACTTGTTAAATCACTTTCAACGTTACTTTTTATGTAAGTCACTCCTGGATTTAGAGTGAAATTTATATAAATTATTTCAGTTACGTTGCACAGTGTCCTAATAAATTCTTTTCTCAGTCACCCACGAAATGTTAAATAGGTTTGGGCTGAACAAGCTCATTCTCGGAATCTTCTCTGGAAGTCTCTGCCCACTTCTGTCTTGTTGCATTAACGGACTGGAAGAGGTTCAGCTCCCAGAGTCACAGAAGCGAAACTCTGAGGATGTGCCCGGGAATACGCGGCCGTCCTGGCTTTTCCTGATTGGCTGATGCTACTGAAGGGTTCTTTGATGTCAGAATTAATCCCTTCGCTGTGGGTTCAGAATTCTCTTCCACAACACACACGTCATGCAAAGATCCCCTAAGCAAACGGCCCCGAAGAGCGGCTGCCGCTGCTTCGGGACCTTGGAGGAGCTCTTGAAGAAGCAGCTCACAGCCGAGAGCAGCGAGCGGTCCCCACGCCACGCCAGGGCTGCCACCGCAGGGTCCCGGCTCACTGCCTGCTGCCGGGAAGTCTTGCAGCTTGTGTGCCTTTTCCAGGATGTCCTGTGCAAGGCTCCACTGAGCAGGCTGGTTTCCAGCTTCAGCACTGCCGACATCTTGGTTTCGTGGGGGCCGGGGGCGAGGGCTGTAAGATGCCAGCAGCGTTCCGGACTTCTTTCTCCAGATGCCACAGGGACTCCCTGGCTGGGACCCCTGGGCGTGTACCCCCAGGCTTTGCCAAACGGCGGCAAAATGACCCTTGGTCGAGGACCGTGGCTGTACAGGATGTGCTACGGTGGCATTGCTGCTGTTTCTGCTGCTGCTCCCAGACTGGGTCCCCAGGTGACCCCCCACCCCAGCTTGTAAGCACCTGGTCGTGTGCATGCACAGGAGACCGGCAGGGCCAGACCCAGGCCTCCGCCCGCAGGAGGAACCCGAGTAACCACAGTGTGCGGCCCCAGCCTTCTCTGCTCACCCCATGTCTGTCTTCCTAATGCAGAGGTAACTCTGAGGCTGATAAGAGGGGCTGTGGGGGAGGGAGGTCCCATTATGCATTTTTAGGTTACATAACAACTCAGTTATTTTTTTCTAATTTGGCAGATCACTAAAATTATTTTTCAGTTGTATGTTTTTTTAAAAAGCACATCATCTCTCTTGGGTCTCCTATTTTGTTTTTGAAAATAAATCACATTTCCAAAAGAAAGCCGCAGAGAGAGCAACCCTCTGAGGATGTTCACCGTGCCGGACAGCCTGAATGACGGCTGCAAGCCCAACAGCTTCCCCTGGCCTCCGTCTCCTGCATTCTTGTTGGTGTCAATGATGGAGACAAACTCCAAATTGACAAAACAGGAAGTTCCGATGTGCAGGTGCTGGAGGGTGGGCCTGCCCCACGGAGGGGTGTGCCACAACCAACCCTCAGGTCCCCGCAAAGACGTGGCACACGGGTGCGTGCAGCCTGCTCTTTCCACGGGCCAGGCTAGCACATACCGTGTGGTTTCAGGCCTTGGATATGTACCTTTCTAGAACGTGCAGTACCGAGCTCACGGCGTCACTTCCAAGAGCACAAGCCATCAAACCGATACCAGTTCCTGAAGTCACTGAGATGCATTTGTGAGATGAATGGGTCTGAGCTCACCCTCCTCCCCTGATGATAGCCCCGGGGGGCCCGGTGTAGCTGGAAGTGGCTCAGAATTATGGCCAAGGAATGCCCTTCGCTTTCTGTCAGATGGGGTCACCCCAGCATGGCCCCAGGTGGTTCTTGCATTCATGTGTAAACATCATTTGTCACTCAAAATAAAGACGTGGGAAGAGGAGAAGGTGGACATACCTATAGATAATGCAGGCACTGTTCCTGCACGTGTCACAGTTAGCTGTGTCCTGCCCCGTCCGATAGGAAAGCCTACAAGACAAGAACAGGAGAGTGTTACACGCCATGGCTGGGTCGCCGGCTGACAGAGCAGATGCCTCAGGTCAGACGCCTTCCCCATGCCAAGCTCGTTATGGTCATGGAAAGTGAAGGATGCGCGTTTCCCCGTTTGCTCCTGTTTCTGGCTCTGTTGGACACAGGATGCGATGTCTGCAGCTGAGATGATATTTAAATTAAATTTACAGTTTGCGTGTAAGCTACCAGATCACGCACATAATCTGGTTTTGTTATAAGCATGGGGAATTTGGGATGTTTTGGTGCAGCTTTATATTTATGGTGCTTCAAAGGAATTTTTTTTTTTTTTTTGGCAGGCAGAGTGGACAGTGAGAGAGAGAGACAGAGAGAGAAAGGTCTTCCTTTGCCGTTGGTTCACCCTCCAATGGCTGCCGCTGCAGCCGGCGCACCGCGCTGATCCGATGGCAGGAGCCAGGATCCAGGTGCTTTTCCTGGTCTCCCATGGGGTGCAGGGCCCAAGCACCTGGGCCATCCTCCACTGCACTCCCTGGCCATAGCAGAGAGCTGGCCTGGAAGAGGGGCAACCGGGACAGAATCCGGCGCCCCTACCGGGACTAGAACCCGGTGTGCCGGCGCCGCAAGGTGGAGGATTAGCCTATTGAGCCACGGCGCCGGCCCTCAAAGGAATTTTGAGGGGAAACCAACCGTAGATTCCGACTTGATGATTGTCTTTGTCCTTCTACCTACTGCCTCCTGAAATCGGGCCTGGCAAGCCATGGCCTGTCTCATGTCTGGTTTTGTCTAGCAAGCCAAGAACGAGTTTTGTATTTTTAAAAATCATTGTAATAATACTAATATTTGTGACACAAGGAAAGTATCTAAAATTCACATTTCAGTGTCTGCCAGTAAAGTTCTTACGTTAGACAGTGAAAACCAGGAAGCTTTTTATGTAAATAACCCATATGGCATCCTGGACCTTGCCTCTGGCTCTGTACGTCCTAGAATATTTACTTCTCAGGCTTGCTGACCCTGTGCAGAGCCTGTCCCTGCGCTTATGACTCGGGATGGACTGTCCCGGGGCGTCATCTCTGCTGAGTTCTCGCAGCCCCGTGAGGACAGATGGACTTGCAGGGGGCTCGTCGAGTTTTCTCTCCCTGTAAAAAATAACCTTGGAGTATTTTGTAGAATGCTGTTGGCGCTGTAGGAACATCAGCCTTTGAAGAGGGGGGCTTTCTTCACTAGGCTAGGTTTACCCTGAGTATCTCTTGCCCCAGTCTCCCCCAGAAACTGAATGCAATTGGTTCCACAGAGGCTCCGACCCGTGTTGGCTGCCCTGACCTCTCAGGGATTTTGAACACGCAGGCGTATTCTGAATACTGTTCTATACCCAGGGACAAATGGGATCATCAGAATCTGTTGGCTTTGTGGCAAGAGAAAGGCTTCCGTCTGAATTGGCTTTAAACAGGGTGCATGTCTGGAGTCGTGCCCTGCAGCCGTGGTGTGCACAGAAGGTCTTCTGTCAACATTACCAGTCAATATTTTTATCACCTTCAGTGTGTAAGCTTCTGTTGTCATGCATCGTGGATTTCAAAGTGAAAATAGCTCTTTTGTTTTCTGCTTTGTATTTTGTGTTGCGTAAATATTGTCTACTCAATGCCAAGTTCACCTCAGGGGGCTTTGGTGAACTTCAGTGTGACCTGTAGGTTCTGTGTGGTGCATTTGTTAAGCATGTGGCCCTGTTGTGCCCCTAGATGTCTCCAGGCGTGTCCTGTGATTCGTTACGTTGGAACCAGCATTGCAGTCCTAAGGAGGCTGCATTTGTATTTTCATTTTCTGTTGTCACAGCCCCCGCTGGGCACCTTAGGTTGCCCAATTTGGCCTTTTGGTTCCCTCCTGGCTTGGGAGGAGAGCGGAGGAATGAGTAGCCTGTGCCTTGCACCCTTGCTTGTCCCCCACGAGACATGCTGGCTTTCTCCCTAATCCTTCCTTATTGAATGTAAGCCCTGAGAATGCTGTTCCCCTGACGTTCCCACATTTGTCCAATTTGATTTGAACCTGTTCTGTTCCGCTGGACCTTACGTATTCACAACACCTGGTCCATCCAGCGCATTCTGCTTGAGCTGGGCCTGGGGCTCATTTTTGACCACGTCAATCTGTGCTTGGAAAGCAGTGCAGTATCTGAGCCCGGCTCCTAGCAGTGGCACATCCCACACCGACCGTGGTGACAAGCTGTTGGGGTGGGTTGCAGATGACCTGCCCTTTTATTCCTGTGCTGTGCCAGTCGATCCAGACCGCAGTCAGGAGAGCGTGTACCCAGTCATCTGTGAGCACTCGTCTCAGCCCCACCTTAGGCTCTCACGGCAGACATAATCGGGGGGCAATGCTTGTCCACTATCTGGGTGCACTCTTTCTGTGAATCCCAAGCTCGTAGGACCTTCCTGCCCTAGACCTCAAGACAAATTCTGTCAAGCTTCATCAACAGCAATGCCCCGCCCCCGGGGATCTTAGCGTTTCCAAGTGTCTCGCTTGCATTAGAGCCTTGAGTCTTCCAGTTAATTATGCTTAGCTCATTTCACAGAGGAGAAGACAGTCACACATCAGGCCAGGGTCTCATCGTTCTTAGACCCGGGCTGCAGGTGCTCTGTGTCGCTGTGCTCCTACTTTGTGTTCTGCACTGTGTGTAACTGGCAGCCTGCGAGCTGCAGAGAATCCAGCAACGACAGGACAAAGGCTTCAGGCACAGGAAATTCACGAGAGGACTCTCTTCCAGGACCTGGGAGTTCTTCAGCAAGAAATTGCTTTTTTAAAGCCCTTCCTGAAAAGACTGTTCTAATCACCTTGTGAAAAAGCACACATTTCCCCCATTACAGTCAGTAAGCAAATGGTTATTAAGTGCCTCCTAAGTGCCAGGCATGATTCTGGCTATGGAGGAGACATAGCCAAGTAGAGGGAGAGAGGCAGGGGGCAGCCCCTAACTACTCGGAATCAATGTAGGTTGGACAACCAGTTTTGATCTTGCTGGGTGTGAAGGATGCCTTATGAAAGGGTGGTTTGGGGATGAACCCTAAGGAGGTGGCATTTGAAGTGCAACCTGGATGATACTAACAAAGCAGGATTCATCTGATGATCCAGCGATGAGGCGGGCAAGCAGAGGGACCACCCTGCGTTGACGTCTCGCAGTGGGACTGCCACTGGCAAGTCTGCAGGACAGAAGAGAAAGGCCAGCGTGGCTAGGAAGGATGGAGAAGGAAGGAATGCAGGGAGATGCAGACAAATTCTGTAAAATGAGACTCTCTTTGACCATTACTTTGAATTTTATGGGAAGCTATTCCAGTTTTTCTTTCAGGTGGTTGAAGGAATGACACCGGAAACACTTCCCCTTGCTTTTGCTCTTATCCCACGCCTACAACACCACCTCCATTCTATTTCCTTTCTCTCTCTCTCTCTCTTATTTACAGTCCAGCCAGATTCAGTCACTCCTGGGAGGTGCCGTGGTTGGGGTGATGTCTCTGGAGGCATTACATCGACTTTGTATGCAGACATATCTGTGGTCACTCTTATTTCATCTCATTGAAAAGTTTGTGGTCAGGTCCTTTTTTACCACCGGTGAGAAGGATCTTCAGGATTCTGTTACCATGAGTCTTGGAGAGAATCTTCAGACCCTTGGTCTGTTTCTCAGGACTGGCTTTGGGTTTTTCTTTGATTGAAAGGAATCAAATGTTTGGAACCCACAAGCATCAGTGAGACATTCATTTGTGGGTCCGGTTTAATGTGCTGACCTGTGCCATGTGGTTAACTCACAGGCTGTGGCCTCTGGCTAGTGTCAGTCATGGTATACCTGCTAAATTTTTATTAAGCAAGAGGTTGTTCTCAACAGAGGGCTTGAATCTGTGAAGTGCACTGTGCTTACTGCTATGATGATCCATCTAATTGTCCTTGGGGCTTCCAAGCTGGAGGGTTTGGCTTCACTGACCGCTTTATGGTCACATTAATAATTGGGTTGCAGCATCAGAATGGATGTATACTCCAGACACAGGCAGACAGATGAGCTCTTTCCCCGGAGGAGGGACGCAGTGTGCTCTTCTGGAATGTCCCTGTTTTTTTCCTTTGCAACTTGGAAACATGTCATAAAACCAACACTTAAATGATTATCTTTCTAGATTGCCATTGCCACAAAGAGGAACCATCTAAAAACTTTACGAACTGCTCCAGCCGATAGTTTTCCAATGGCCATGGAGCTGGCAGTCTTATGTGAGTTAGAACTTTGGAGAAGTGAGAGCTTAGGTTATTGATCTCAAACCTGCAGAGGAAGAACATTTTGATCATGAATGATCAATGTTATGGCTTGCAAGTTAATTGCTCTCTTTATTAATCCTCTTTCCCCTTTTTTGAGGAGACTCTAGCTTATATAGCTTTGCAGCCACATGCCTGATAGGATGCCTGGTACCCTCTGTGTGTCTGGATGATGTAAATGTGGCCAAATTGTAGGCAGCCTTTGTGTTCTTACATTGAAGTCCAGAATCATATACTAACATAATCAAAGAATTGCAACAGAGAGCAAAAAAGGGAAGGGGAAGTATACTCTGTGAGAAGTTCTCGTTCTCACATCTCTCCTCCATGGGGCACCTTTGGATGCTAATGACAGACATGTTCATTGCAAATATGGGTTTTTCAGGGATCAGTCATTATTCTCTGATGGCGGTTAGTGGGCTGTGTTCTCAGTCTAACAGTGCATAGCACCTGGCGGGGAGCATTCAGCACCAAGGTCAGCGTCAGGAAACACGTTCCTCTCTGGTTTCCTGTTCGGTTCTCTCTCTGCCCATCCCTTCAGAGCACAGAGGCAATCCAGGGACCAGTTCAGGGACCCTGAACATCTCCTGGATTGATGCTCTTTGGACATCCCTTGGTCAGGATGGGCTTTCTGGTCAGCAAAGGAAGACTAGACGTGAGTTTTAAAATTGACAGGGATGTGACCCACATATATTCTGTGAAAGGGCATGGAGGCAAAGGGTTGATGT